AAAAAAAGAGTAGATCACAAGATTCAAATGATAACTTGAAGTACACTCATTTGCAAGATTCCATATTGTTTGATTCCAAATTTATTGAAAGAATGCAAAAGTCAAGTGGAGTAGATGTTGAACAATGAGTTCATTCAACCAAGTATTTCATCTTATCGAGCCATAGTGCTATTTGTGAAGAAGTATGTATGCAAAAATATTGTCCATCAACTATCATGGATTGAAGCAACAAACGGTGAAAAAAACATATCATAATCTTGTATGGATGATTTTTTTATCAACTTCAAGGAATAAAGTATTTCACCAAACTAGATTTGAGATCCAAATCTAGTTTGGTGAAATACTTTATTCCTTGAAGTTGATCGGATACAATCAAATTTGAATTGTCGATGAAGATATTTACAAGACTGATTTGTACTAGTTATGATCACTTTGAGTATCTAGTGATATCTTTTATTTTCATTAATACATAAGTTATATTCATGAGATTGATGAACAATATCTTTTGTATTTATCAAGATAAATCTCTTATTATTATTTTAGATGATATATTAATGTAGAGCAAAACTTTGAATGATCATAGACTTCACTTACAAGAAAAACTTCAAGTATTGAGAGAAATTGAGTAATACGCTAAATCATCAAAATGTGAATTTGGCAAATTAGAATAGATAACTTGGATCATAGAGTTATAGTTGCAGCAATCCAATTAAAAAGTGAAAAGATATAAACTATTCAAAAATGAAAGCATTTGAGAATCAAACTCAATTGAATAGTTTTTTAAGTCTCATTGGATTTTATCGTAGATTTGTTAAAAGTTTTACATGTCTAGCTCAAGCCTTGACTTTCATGCCAAGATAAGTCAAAATGAAGATGAAAAACATCTCAAGAATTAGCTTTTCAAGCATTGAAATATGCTTTGTTACATGCACATATACTCAAATGTTATGATCCTAACAATGCTATCATGTTGGCTACGGACGCATCATGTACAATAGTGGATGGCATATTTCAACAAAAATGGGAGTATAAATGACATTTAATTGTTTTTTTATTATCAAAAGTTGATGACAGCAAAATAAAATTACCACATGACAGAAAGAAAATAGTTAGTCATTGAGTTGGCAACAAAACACATAAGCATTGCTTGGATGATTAGGAGTTTGTGGTGGAGTCTGATCATACATACTTGATTTATTTGAAAATGTAAAAGTATTTGTCTAAACAAAAAATTTGATGTGCAGAGTGACGTCAATGTTTCAACATGAAGATTGTGTATGTGAAGAGTAAAACGCAACTTGCGTATGCTAACACGCATGTCTTGTGTGAATCATGTTGCAGAAGTAAAAATTCATACTTATTGATGAAACAATATGACACAAGCCACAAAAGAGTACAAAGAGATTATTTGAACACTACAAAATGAAAAGACAAAGAACTCTTAAGGTTTGGCATTCTACAAGCAGCACATATGAATTTCACAAAATCAAGATTTGCATTCACTGATTTTGGCCAAAAATCATGACACAATCATTGCATGTCATGTGCAAGTGAAGAATACTGTGTAGAATATACAACAATTAAACTATTTATCTAAAATATAATACTTCGTGAAATCTTATGTTTGAATTTGTGTTGCTTGTCAACAAAACAAGTCAAATAATTAAGAAACCATCTGATTTATTACAGCCTTTCTCTATTTGTGAACAGCGCTGCAAACATGTCATCATGAATCTTGTATGTGAATTACCAAAGATTTCATTAGGACATGATTTAGTGATGATTGACATGACATCAGGCCATCCACAAAAATAGTAACAGTTACACAACTCGCTCAATTATGTCTAAATGCACACACTTTTGACTCTTGTGAAATTTACATATAATAATTTTGTTAATGCATCCACAAAAATGTCTTCATTTTATCTCATGTATGGTACTCATATTATAATTTCTTCAAGTTTGATACAACTTCAAAAAGGATAGCAATTTTTTACCAAAGTTGAAGCAGTCAACGAGTTTGTGAAGCGTATTCACAGAGTACCACATCAAGCCAAGGAGAAGTTGCTGATAGCTTAATATTGGCAAAAACAATTGGTTTATGAGAAAAAAGATCATGTTTGAGTTTCTATAACAAATTTTTCTGTTGTAGGAACACTCAAGTTAATATCCAAGATTCATTGATACATTTTTTGTTTTGAAACGTGTTGGTGAAATATCATACAAGTTGGAAATTTTGTCACATATGAAATTAGATTTGATATTTAATGTGTCACGATTGCAAAAACGTGTACCACAATCAAAATAATATACCAATTAACCAACATCATCTCCTCTTTCAATCTTAATAGTTGATTATTAAAAATTTGAAGTAGAAAAAATACTCAAGCAACGTATTTGATGTTGTAATATTTCAAAGTAGAATATTTTATTCAATGAAAAGTCTATACCTCATATGAATCAACTTGAAAACCAACTAAAAATTTAGCAAATGTACCTTTGATAGTTCATAAGTTTGAACATATGTGCCGGAAAGGAGATTTATATTCATCTTTATTTAGTTAAAACTTAAGTAGTGATTACTCAAGATTGATGAGAGTAGAGTAGATGATAGTGGAATATTTTTAGTGTCACATCAACAATTTGTGTACTAGTTAGTGTGTTAATTGTGAACAACACGTCATCAATTCGTGTATTTGTTAGGTTAAAATTCAGTGTGCTAGTTGATGTGTTAGTTTGGAGCTACACGTCAGCAATCCGTGTGCTCATTTAGTATATATTTCATGTCATCAATCCACTATGAATGAATTGGATGGTGGGAATAATATCTTTATAAAAGATAGTATAATCATTCAAGCTATCTCATCTTCAAAGTTTATGTTTCATACTTGAATGAGATTTTATCTAAACCGTAATGTTACAGGCAGATTCAAACAAGTATAAACTCTTTTGGCAACACACTTCAAATTTTTTGGAGCTCATTGTCGAACTGATGTCATTGACCAAAAAAATGACAACTATTTTTTATGAGAAATTACAATTTCATATATTTGATGGTGTGTATAAGATTTGATATTGTTCTAGCTATAAGCAAGGTGAGCTGATACATGTCAAATCCATGTAATTAACATTGAAAAGTAATAAAATGAACAATCATGTACTTGAAGAGTATTACAGATTATGGTCTATTGTTTTATGGTTTATTGGACAATGTCAAATTTTTGTTATATCATTGGATTAGGCTATGGATTTAGAATAATAATAACAACAACAAAAAATCTGGACAATAATTTTTCTACAACTGTATATGTGTTTATACTTTGTGTTAGATGCATTAGTTGAAAATTTACCTTGTAGAAGTATATAGCTTAGTCTACAACGCAAGCTGAGTATTTTAGAAGATTATTTGGTTGAATAGGTTTTATCACTAAGATGAAATCGAAACATGAGATCTTCAGTGAAACCTGAATATCTAAATGTACTTACATCTTGCTACAAATTAAGAGATAGACAGTATAGTGTTACAAATCGAAATCCAATATCTCTTTATCTAACATGCAAACTTCTGAGTTCGTTAGAATTGACAGTAAATTTAATCTAGCCGACACGTTATACATAATTATTTCTTTGGAAAGTTTCACCATACACTAAACTACTATGCAAATTTTTCATGAGGAGCACAAGTAGACTTTCCTGGCAATTTAATTAACTTTGTATATTCTTTCTCCATCATGTTTTGGTAACAACTTAGTTCTTATTGGCTATAGTTTAAAAAGAGTTATGTGTTAGGTATTTTTATGGTACTTCCCGCAGAGTAATTATTTAGGCTGTGGAGGTTATTTTTGCCTCCAGTTGAGGTAAAAAAAGATAATTAGGATTAAATCATGTTGACTGTGGCTGTGAGTTCCAATTTCTATATATATGTTTTAACACTTGATACTTTTGGTTCTGATTACTAAAGGCAGCAAGATCTAGATAAGTCCCCTAAACATTTTACCAATCTTAGTTTCATAAACTTGTGAGTTACTATTGAGTAGACGAAAATGAATTTCTTTTCTTGTCTTGTTGAATTTGCGTGATGAATGTGTGTTTTGTGAATGATCTTATTTTGCCAACAACATTTTCATCTACATTGTACAATTTGAAATACAAAGATTATGTCTTAACCTTGTAAAAAACACATATTAAAATCTAATATTTACTTTTCAAATGTGATTTAGATGCAAGAAATACTATATTTTTTTAAATTTTTCTCTTTTCATTTTTCATATAATTATATAGATTATTAAAATACAAAACTTGTATTCAGGTTTAATTGAATCTAGTTTTAAATCATGTCATAGCAATGAATTTTTCCAGCTTATGATACAAGCATTCAAGAAATTATATTGAATATTTTAGAAAAAGATGAGAGTTCTATCTAAATTTGTAATAATTTTTATTATAATTTTACTTTAATTATCAAATTATACATTTGAAAAAAATGATAATAAAATATACTTAGTTATTGAATTTTTTACAAGGGAATACTTTGAATTATCATAAACAATGACAAGAAGTATTCATGAATTAAAAAATTATGTACAAGATTGCAATACAAATAATTAGGATGAAATGCTGTTTATTATATTCACCGTAAAATTGAAAGCAATGGTGTAATGCTAGTAAATACATGGAACATTATTGACCTCATCGAGTTAATAGTCAAAATAGCTCATCACAAATTCACACATTTTACTTGTTAACTCATGCCTCGTATTGGGGGATATTCAGAAAAATGTAGAAGTCAAGTATCTTCTACTTGAACTGGGGGAATCAACAAAGGTCTAGTCAGGTGACAATCCGAGTCACAACGTTCCTAAACCCTGCTCACCACGATGTGAACGGAGGACTAATTTGTCCGATCGCTCCAAGGGGAAATAATCATCACAGAGTAACATAATTGTCTGCACAATTATGTTACTCTGTGATGAACCCAACGCCTGACATGATATGGTGACACAAAACGCATACATAATGCAGTTTGTGTACAGAAGTGTGTTCGCACTGGAATCCCGGTTGAAGCTTTGAAGCCAACCAGTAGCATCAGGATATCGATCGTCACTTCCATTCCAACCACCTGCTCCGTAGTCAAGCTGTCCTGGCGTCTGCTGACCTCTGGCTCGTTGTCTTGGTTGCTTTATCCAGCGCAGGACAAAATCCTTCTCCTTAACCCCGTTCATTTTGATGACAATTCTAGCTTTACAGTTTGGACATCTCACTCGATGCAAGTGGTGGTGACTGCATGCGTCAAAGTACGCTGTATTTGGAGGTCTGCTGATGCTTTAACATTTGGCATCGTTTTGATTACTCTTAAGCTGTTCTTGCTCTTTGTTGAAATCTCCAGATTTATCTTTATTGAGTTTTTTCTTGTCTGAGTGCGCAATTGCGTTTGTGGAAGTTTACAGTGAGGCAATGAGTTTATACATATGATGAACGCCAGATTTCAGCAGCTTACTCGTTGGTTATGCTAGAGGATATGATCTTGAGGCCGTGAATTACAGGCTCTGAAGTAGTCTCGGACTCCCAAATTCGAACGCTCGCTTCCAACTGCTGCCTCTAGTTGTGCACAGGATGGCTGGTAAGAACCTTCACACCGACCGTGTAATCTTGAGTGAAGCACCTTTGCACCTTGTGAGACTCCTCATTTAGGCGAAATGCATGAAATTCGTCGTCGGAGGTTGTAGCAACCATTTCCTTTTCACTGAGTAGCTTTGGTTTTTCTCTCAGCGTTGTACCAACGAAATTTCGATCATCGGTTTTTCAATCCCCCTCTCAGGCAGGGCTTTCGTAGAAGATACCTCCACTCCGGTTTTGGAGAGCAGGTGTGTCTCTATAACCGTCTTCCGAGTCTCCTGACGCAGCTCAAACGAGGGTCTGAGACCGCCTCCTTCAATTTTGAACATTTGCCTGTCCGTCCAGTTCCACTTTACGCGGGATGCACGGATCAGAGTAGGTAGCATTAGGAGCAGAAAGCTGAGCATCCGAGAAAGTTGACTCCGCTCTGCTCTTTAAACTCTGGATGCGGAACGAACTATCGAGAACAATTATATTTGCAGTTAGGCTGAAAATCTGGGCTTATCAGTTGTTCAAAAACTTTCAAAAACGCAAATTGAGACAATAAGATTGATACGAAATTCGTCTTGAATACCGCGACAGAAGTATGGTCGCTATCCTCGGAACTAGTCGCATGTCGTTAACGTTGAATCGGTGGAGACTGAAATCCATGACGAACCTAAAGCCTGTCGTCCAAAGTGCGCAAGTTTATTCCATGTCATCACATTACTGTCATCGCCATGCCAAAGAATGCTGGAATGCGACTTATCCGTGTTCCAAGTTCATTGAACACGTTGGTGGTCTAGTTCAGGGCATCAGATGCCGTCTTGGTGTCCATATTCAAAAAGAGTTCATCGATTGAAAGTAAAATCCTCAAAGCTCACGCAGCCCTGTTTGCTGCAGGTTGAGAGTCCGAAGTTCACTTTCCCCCAGACCGGAACTCGCAAGGATGATCTTGACATTCATGACAATAGGGTTAGCATTCAACTCAGCTCAGATTAGTTTGGTGCCACTTACAAAAGTTCTTAAAATCTGGATGTTGTGTTAAGAAAGTGCATGCATGTGGGGTCTAAAAGCCTTCAATCTTGAAGGATCTAGTTTCCAGATATAGCAAAGTAAAGACACTTCTACTGTCTTGTGAGATAATCCCTTGGGATTTTTTCTCTCGCCTTGTGCTTGTGCAGGTGTGCGTCACCAAGCAGATAGACAAATTTAAGCCTGACCACTGCAGCCCTGGTAAACCTCACAACTTGACAATTTCAATTTGATGCAGCGCGGAGACTCAGGTCTTAGAGTCCACTACACAACTTTCCTGCTGTAGATGAAAATCGGTAATTTTTAACTTCGAGCCTGACCAACATTTCGATGCAAAGTACTTCGCTAAATCTGTTATGCTTGACTCGGTTTTCCTCATGATCAACAGGACCTGCAGTTTTCCTGCACAATGGATCCATGGTGAGTGTTTCTACATATGCTACTTTTCTATCTAGCGGACTTGGTACTCGTAGTAAATCTATTCTTTCAGGAAAGCTATTACATCATTGAGTTGCGATTGACCAGTGCTTCACATGACCATGTGAAGTGCACTTTCCTTGATGATGTCTTGCACTAGTTACACGTAGTGCAACATTATTTACAGTCAATTGACATTCGCCAGCGAAATTTTCTGTGTACGCTGACAGCTTCTTGGATTCGTCATGACATTCAGAAAGCTGAATGTCAACCTGTCCGCACGAAGACAGGGTCTTTTTCTTGAACCATTCCATCTCGTTATCAAACCACTGAAGTGTCCTCATACATGTTGTAGGGAGACCAAGAAAGATCAGAAAAGACAAACCCTGTATACTGCCGATTTGGCAAGGAACCCCGATTTCGAGAAATCAAACAGACGCCAGGACCAGGCCACTATGATTACTGACCGAAGATTCACGTGAAGTGTGTGGGACTTCGGACTTTGAAGCACGATTGTCTTGCCTACTCGGTAGAATCTCCGTGAACACTGACTCACTTTATTATAAAATGAGCACTTTGACCACTTGAAGTAAAGCCAAGAATAAGATGTTCAAACTTCAAAGTAGAATGAGGTCTACCAGTAAAGCCTAGGATGACCGCGGTATGGAGACTAACAACCCTCACGCTCATTCTTACCGTCCCGCCTGTCCAAGAGTCATACGACATCACCAAGGTCGTTACTAAGATTACTTTGAACCCTTTAAGAGATTACATATGTCATCTTACGCTTCCCTCCTTCGATAGTCCCAGCCGAGCTGAAGCATACCTCTCGACTTGCTCATCGTAAATAACACGTTAGAACACCAGCAGTTCTTCAAACGATGTGAACTTTTTCACGTTCTTGGGCCACAAATGAAGTAAATGTGCGCATGTAATTGAAAGATATATTTGTCCTACTTTCTATTTTTATTCCTTTGTCAAAAATGAATGTAGATAGTGATCAAACAAATGGAGCTAGTTGCAATTTTTGTCTAGAAGCTAACTATCAGTCTAACGAACGTCGGACCCTTTTGTGCACATCGCCAAGAAGCTAGGTCAGTCCCATCCTCATATAACGTGTACACTCCGACATCCTCTGGCGCCAATCGATAACATTTGCATCATTTCATTTAATTAAGTAACTGTACACGACTGAATATGCGAAAGACATTATCCCTCGGTAGATTGACATTCCTGTCAAGCTCAATCACCTCTAGGATTCCCTTGTCTCCGATTCAAATGGCAGCTCTACTAGAGTAGCATTCCCATAAAACTCCTCCAAATTATAGAAGGAGCGCTCCTTCGGAAAGAAAATGTGCACCACCACATCACCTGCGACAGCAGTAAGAGCTTCATCTCAGGAGCAACGCAACGATGTAGTTCTACATTGAAAAAACATGCACTTCCCAGATCTGTAAGTGTGCACTGTTAGCGAATCTGAAACGCAATCTTATTGAGTTGAGCACAATGAGTGACTTACCGAAGTCCAATAATGTCCAGGCATTGGGTTTCAAATCGCCACGGGCTGTTCTCTTAAACCGCTGCTCTGCCAAATCACGAATTCTGCTCCTGAACACGTGAACAACGGAAGCCTGGTCAGTAATCAACCATCACCTAATAATCTTACTCATAATATGCATAGTTTCATATTCTGTTCAATAGTGAGAAGCGTCACTACGCAAAAGAACCTCACATCTGACAATCCTCTGCCATCACACGTCAGCTACGTACAAAACAAGTTCGACATCGCTCCATGTATCTCTTCAGTTGGCCTTGTAAGCATTGTAAAAACAAAAAACCCATTCCGCAAATTCTTCGGAAAGTGCAACTAGTATGGCACACACTGAAGAGTAATGGCAGTTGGGATGATAGAAGTGTGTAGATGAACAGAATAGCCTCATACAAAGGTCAGGAAAACGCAAGCTTCGTACCCGATAGCATCTACTTGTGGCCGCGAGAAACCAGTAGCAATGACGAAAAATCGTGTCCAGTATACAAGAGGCTTCACACAAAGAACGCGAATGTCCCCACCCTTGACCTCATTCGCAGCCTCGGCCATGGCCACAGCAACTGGGTGATCAAACATTCCAGGATTAGCCTTGAATGACGGAGCTTCGCTTAGCTCAAGTGGCTTAACCGCATAAAAGCTGCTCATGTATTCTTTCCTAAGCATATATCGGCAGGGTGATATTTCAGGATCTATATTTCGCAATTGACTTTGTACTGATTTATGTTGAAGTATGCTACCACTTTACGATGTATATACCTCTTTTCCAAAATCCAACCGACAGTATGTGCAAAACCATGACCATGAACAAGCTTAGAACGGCGGGTCCAGCAAGAGATCGACGTGGCTACAGAAATCGAAGGGTAAAGGACTTTTGACTATGTAAACGGCTTCTAGCCCAAGGTTTACTTACAAGCAAGACTGTCTGCATCGTCGTCAACTTCTGAAGAACTTGCTCTAGGTTCATCCCCTCTTACCACCTCGCCATATTCTTCAAATAGTTCATCTAGCTCGGCTTCGTCCAAATCTTCAATATTCAAATCTTGATCCTGCTAGGAAAAATGCACATGACGATTGTAACCGTATGTAGCAAAAAATGCTCTTAACCTGCTCTCTGTCATGGAACTTCAAGAGTGGCGGAATCGCATTCTCAGGTAGCAGCGAGATGGGCACCAACTCTCTGCTTAGACGACATTCCTCTTCCCTGTATGTGACTCTTAAACTACAAAAATTGCGGCAGCTCAATGACTATCGTCGAAACGAGATTGCAAAGGTTTTCCACCTGAGAGGGCGGCTCCGTTAGAGCCAAGTTCCTGACAGCCAAAGAACGCCATTTTAGCACCGGTTTTTGTGCAGCCATGGCGGGCCGAACTTGCAGCTTGCATCCTTGCAGAAAACTTCTGGAAGTGACAGACACTGCAATGGCAACTTAGGATATAAATATCATATTCATTCATTCCTCGCATCTTTCAGTCAACTTCCACGCCAGAATTCACTCCTCAGCTGACAAGGCTGCAACAACGACGATAGAGACCTCAAGACAGCTCTGTGATCCACTGACACATTCTTGGTGTGATAATCCTGAACAGCAAAACGCTATATTCCGCGTTGGTGCGGTCGGCCGTGGCTTTATAATTTTGTGCTTTGCACGAAAGCCTGTCGTTTAATTTGTCCAATTGCAAATTTGTGCCCGTTGGATTCCAATCGACAGCATACTCAGCTAAACCCTAAACCCTTCACTCTCAAAATCAAGAAAGCGCATTTGACTCCGCTCCAGAGAATCCGCCATCCCATTTTTGCAGCATTATACGAGCAATTGATAAAAATGAATTTGAAACCAGTCGAAGAGGACGATTACCAGAAGCCGCAGTCCGTTGAAAATGCCTTCTATCCCTGAGTGAGAAGTCAGCAGCAGCAGGCGCGGCAGTCGCAGCGCTGATTGTCGCCATTGATGGCCGCTACGATGTTGCAACGAACGCAGCCACCGCTAGAGAAGTTTGATTCGAAGGAAATGTCGATGTTCGTCAAAATTAGAGTCCCTCGACCATTTTCCTTCCTAGCCGTCGAATTCTCGTCGAGGGGGGCTCGAACCACCGTCAAATTCACGACACGTCAGCTATATCTTTATCCATTCCCTGAAGGCTTTCTCCGTACGGTACAGTGCACTATCGTCTTGACAGCCTCTTTGGCACCCCTGGACGTTCGGCTCCCTTCCATTTTACCCTCCAAGCCGGGGTCGCCATTTTAACCCGTCGCCGGTTTTCTTTTTCTTTTTCTAAATAGTCGTCATCATCATTTTCTGACCATTGCTGGCAATTTGTCCCGTCACTCTCTCTGAGGACCAGGACTGACCTGGTGAACAGTGCATCCTCGTCCTCCGATATTATCGCTGTCTTGTAGGCATGTAACAAACTTGCTTTAGGAAGTTTGTTCATATCAACAAGACGACGCACAAGAAAGTGAAATCTTTTATGCGAGGGAATGGGCTTTTCAAAGATTGACGTTTCATTACTAGTTTCATTCAGAAATGTTTTACAAGCTTTGATTGATCAGTATCATATGATAGCGTTAGGCCTTTTTCCACACCATCATGTATCTCATCGCCGAAAACCTTAACTTAGCATATACTTCTGCTAACATAGAATTTTCGTCCAGCTGACATAATCTAACAGCTCATACCTTGAAGTACTCAATGGAAGTTTGGCATTGCACGCTCGATAGTAAGCTATTATTTATATATATTTATATTGCATCGTTGATGTGATTATTCAGTGAACGATTCCACGATTTTTTTTATTGCTCAATCACAAGAGTTGCAGTTTAGTATTTGCATTTTTATCATATAGCAATAAATGAAGTTCATATTCGTGTATATTCTCTGCCTACTAGTATACCTAACCTGAACAGCTAAATTCACGACTTAAAATTGCAAGTTTTAGCTTAGGATTTTACACTTTGTTTAAAGATTGTGAGTGAACTTTAGACCTCGTGAATATTTTAATCTTGATACTTCGATTATTGTTGGTGTTGTGAGTGATATTTTTTGCAATGATGGTGGCTGGAATTGCTCCTGGTGTTCCGTTTGGTTTCATCTTTGTGTGTCATGAAGCTGTATTAACAGCTTTCACCTCATTATTCGTTCAAAACTAAGATGTGTTCAATTACTAATCATCACGTAACAGAAAACTTAGAGATAATATGTAACGAAATATATCTATATTATACTATGAAAACATTCATTATAGCAAATGGAGACATTTTATGTAACTTATTCATATCATTGTAAGTAATTATGAAAGTTCTAATGAGAAACAATGTGTAATTAAAATAAATTTTATTACAATATTGCTATTATATAATCATTTTTTTGTAAAAAATTTCATCCAAATTCTACTCTTACAAATAAAATAAATCCATTTCTACTCAAAAATAAAGTTTAGCATATTAGCATAAGTAATCATATTTATTCTAAAGCCTCCTTAAAGTAAATTTTTAGCAAATATATATATACATATATTTGTACTTCACAATTATTGGTAAATAATCAATACTTTCTTGTCTTTCTTGAAGTAATGGAATCAAAGTATACAATTTACAAACAATATTGAAAAATAATTAGAGAAAAATCCAAGGTGGATTTTTGTTGAATATTACTTTGTTTAATCTGCACTCAAGAAAAATGTGTATCTATCCTCTTTGTAAAAATCAAACATAGTGTTGAAAAAAATAAAATTTTGATTTATTACAACAAATATTACATGACAGATCTATCTTATCAATATCAGTTAAATTTATATAATCAAAATAGCACAATGAATTATAGAATTAGTCTTGAATAATATTTTTGTAAGCAATTGGAATCGTTATTGTTCTTCAAATGAATAGATTGAGATTAAAACACAATATGTATTGATCGGAGGTTAATGTTCATCTAGCAATTTAGACGTTACTTTTTTGCTAATACAGAACCAGCCATAACGTTCAAAAGTATTAATCTATTATTTCGAGTATTTCAAATAATTTTAAATAATTTTGTCTCATAACATATGATGAAGAGTTATGATACTCTAGTTTTTCAATATTCAGTTTTTTAAAAATTGCAGAATTAGCTGAATTTATGCCAAACATGTTGGTTTAAATTATACTTTATATATTTTTCTTTGACTCCCTTCTTGGGAAAAAAATATTATACTGCTCTATTCGATCCCACTTGTCAATGATAAAATTTCAAAATTTTACGTGAAGAACAGTATCAGTATTTGTAAACTAATATATGTAATATCAGTAAACAAAATCAGTGATGTGTAAATTACAATTGAGAAAGTAGCGTTGCTTAAAATTTTCAAAGAATGCTAATTTTTGAAATTCTTGATTTTGACAAGCAAGAAAAAATGTAGCCTTCAAATTAATATTTATTATTATATATTAAAGTGTAAAAGCAATTTTATTACTATGTAACATGTGTGTGCTACATAAGTGATCATTTTCCAGTAAATATGACAAAAACTTCTTACTAAAAAATCAATATTTTCAAAAATTATTATCAGACTTCCATCACGTGTACAATTTAACTTTATTTTAGGATGCGCTATTGATACATACAAAAAGAAAATTTTGCGAGATTTTTAAAACTCAGTGTAAAGATAATAATTTATTATTTTGATGGACATTGAAGCATACGTTTCTGCTTGAAATTGAGTATTATAAACAAAAAATTTGTTTTCTTGTCTTTATTACTTATTTTCAATGCATTATATCGTAATTTTATATAATTTTAGTTGAAAATCATAATTCTGCATATGTTCCTATCGAATTTTTTTTATAAATTTTATTTTCAAAATATTATTTTTTAAAGTGAAGATAATTAATTTTTCATCTAATATCTTGTTGTGCCATGAGCTATTAAAGAAATAAATTAAAGCTACAAGAATTCAGTCTACAATGAGGTACAAAGGTAAAAATATGAAAATCATCCAATTTTAAGCATTCTACATACATTTTTTTTTTAAATTCTCATTTTTGGGTAAAATTCAACGACTGGTCACTGACGTGTTGAAATTTTTTAAGCCCATGAATGAATAATCAAATTTTATAACGGAAAATTCCTTTATCGTATCTGCTTTGATATTTAAAGACTCAGAATATCCAATGAAATAATTTTCATTTTATCTAAATTGGAAAAATACGTTATGTTCATGTGAAGATTCCTATTTGTTCAAATTACAAAATCTGATCTTTTGGAAAAAAAAACTCATATTTTGTTAGCATTAAAAATAAATAAATTTCCGAAGCTAAACTGATGCAAAAATGATGCAATATTTAATCAAAACATCATTTTAGAATATAAAATGAATAAAATATTTTCAACTTGATCGTCATAAAAATCAGAAATATATATCTTTTTACTGTCATAAGATTGAAAAATCTCAAAACAGAGATCATATTTATTTAACAAAAATATATATTTTCACAAACTATATTTTAATATTTCTTAAAATCGGAATAAAGAACTCATTATTTGATAGATATGCTAATTTTTTTCTCTCCATCATTACAGTCACCACTTGTCAATCTATGAAATAGCTTAAATCTACTTTCTAATGCCATCTTTGTCATCTTAAACTTAACTTATCTTTTTAAATGTTCTATAGTATGTTTTGCTAATTTTCCAAAATTAGTTTTTTAAAAGTGATCAGTGATCGACAATAAATATATGATATAAATGTTCAAAAAACTTAGAATTGTATAAAATCCATATATCGATAAAAATAAGTATAGTCTTCATATAAATTATAAGACACGTGTGAAATTGAAGTAAAAAATGTATCCTAATTTGTTGGTGAATAATTTATCGCAATTTTTACTTATGTAATTAGAAAATGAAACATGAACATAACCATTATTTAGTTACAATAGTGTTATGTAGATTATATAGAGTATAGCATTGTAAGTTTGCATTTGCTAAACTGTAGACACTCGTATAATCAACCACTGTTATTCATATTTCAAAATATCCTGGATACCTGTGTCAAGTTTGTAAGGGAAATGAAAAGAAGAACAACCTTCAAAAGAATTAGACCAGAGTAAGTATATACTTATAAGTATACTGATATTTAATAATAATAATAGTATATTAATAATTTGTGCATGCAAGTTGTGACAGCCCGTTGGCCTTGATTTGATTGTTAGTTGACGTCTTGAACAACAACTGTTGATAACTAATAATTATGTGCAACATGATATGTGGTTATCAACATTATGTGCATGCAAACTAGAAAGGGGTGAAATAAATTAAAGTAACACTAATGCAGAAATGACTAAAACTATATTCGAAGAATGTCGTTCATAAAAACCTAAATTGATTCGTGCATAAGACAATGAAAGGAAAACCATTTATACAATGCATCTCTTTATTCAAAGGCGGAAGTTAATTCACCTTCAAGTATGGATTGAAAATCAAGGACTGCGACCAGGCATTAAAATCATCAAGTTCCTTTCATTTGTTCTTCTTATTCACACGAAGTGTAGGTACTGTTGGTTTCTATCAATCATTCAGCAAAAGTCTAGCAGATTATTTAGAATTCAGCACTGTGAATTCAACAAAAGTCAACTAAATTAAATCAACCATTCAGCAAAAGTGTCATGGCAATTCCCAAACGGCAATTCCTCTCTCATGCACCTTGACTCACTCAAATTTAAACAATGAGCTCAACATGTCAAGTTTGCGACCTTTTCCTCTCACACCAAGCTGAATTAGCGTGTCAACTGGAATCAGCGAAAGTGTTAGACAATATAGCGTATGTGAGAGACATCGAAAAGACTTGGTGTACAGCTTCCAATCACTTTGCCAGAAATAATCCTTGGTCTTGTCACAATGTCGTATGTTACCGCAGAATGTGTTCAGTCGATGCCTGAGGAGCCCCATAAATTGATAGAGAGGTCGTGCACAAATTATTCGATCAAGGAACCGATGCATGGTCTCGAACGCCCATAGAGAACACATAGAAAGTGCTTCTGTGGAGTCGCCAACTCACAGGCTAACTCAATTCAACTCAACTCAACTCAACGCAGGTTTGGCTCACATGGCATGACTTTTTGGAACACAGCCGGAGGGAAGAATCGAGAAGAGCGTAAGTGAGGCGCTGGTCGCTGGTTTGGGACAAATGGATGCTCACAAAGAGCCTGGATAGTCGAAAGATGGATAATGAGGCGAAGATGGGCTCATGCGCCACTGGGGTGCCTAAAACGGATGAGATGAGATGGGGACGTAATTTAAAGATGACAATGCTACGTAACCATGATTCAGGACAGAACAGAACAGTCCAAGTCGAGTGCGCTCTGCCCTTGCAAGATGTAAATACGGATGTTCCTAGATTCAAGGGAGGTGGAAGCGAGTCCGAGGCAGGTCAGGAGGAACCGGGAGCTCTGGATATTGGGGGAAACGCTCCACGAACTATTATGAAAATGCAGATTTGTCAACATTCGAGTCGAATTAGTCATTAGTCAGGTTCTGCCTTGAGCCTTGAGAGGTCGAGCTGTGGTCTTTCATCTCTAGGATCCTATGCTTTTCAGCTGCTTGCGCTGCCAGCTCCAGCTTTATTGACGCAAGCTGCGCAGGTTCTCAATGGTACGGTTGAATCGCAGAATAGAGCCTGTGCCATTCTCTGTATTTGATGGTGTTTGGGCGACGCGAGTGAGATAGACAGTCGCGCCTGTGGGTGGAGTTGCAGGTGGGCAAGAGTTTTTTTATGCGCAGGGCGAGACGAAGGAATTACTATCATTCACGTCGGTAATTTATTAGCTCGGATTTGTGGAAAAGTCGATTGCGTGAGAGGAACCTACGGAAGATACATAGGAGCAGATGACGAAGCTTGAGACTGAGGGCACGAACTAATTGCTCCTTGTCAAGGAAGGGGAAACGAGGTGCAAGGGGAAGAAGTCGCGGATTAGCTAGAAACCTAATGTAATGGTGGCTTTTCTCTTGACAAGGGAGACTATGTTTACGGAAACCGATGGAAGACGGGAAAGAGTTCACGGGTCTCAGTTGCAGCTCTTGGTCATGTCGTGACACAATTTAGAGCGTTGTTGCCGAGTTCTGGTGCATCGATCATTCTTTTGAGAGGTGGTCCTCAGTCCCAGCTCAGGGTCATGTCGTGACACAATTTAGAAGGGTGGTGCCGAGTTCTGGAATATCGATCATTCTTGTGAAAGGTGGGTGGTGCAGGGGATATAGAAGGTTCTTTGGCGCTTATTCTGGATTCCCGAACAAGTTCATCTTCAATAGCTTGCGGAGATGGTCAATTGCTCTACCAATTGCAAAAGAGTGTGTGTGGAGCTTATGTCCTCCTTGTTGATTCCGGGAGAGGATATCCCGCTGTAGAAAACTCTGTGAATTAGGGTTTATGGTGATGGTGGCATCCTCTTCCTGGTATATTTGCGAGCTGTTCCCAATTAGTGGATCCCTCTCCTGCAATGTAGGTATGTTTCAGCATTACACCTCACACATTTTGTATGTCTTATTGTGCTGATCCATTTAGGAAGAGTTAATTTAAATGGTTTTTTCGTTTCTGCTCCCTGATAGATATATCGCTCAAGAAACATGCTCCAGCAGGACAGAATCATTTACTTACTTATTCCCTCGGGACTGGAGGTCCGTCTACTAGTTCGCACAAATATTCTTATAAATTAGCTCCTCCTTTCTTGGAAGTTGACTCTTAGTTGTCTTTATGTGGAGTGGGGCAAAGGTCCCTTACAATTGGAGGGAATAGTGGTGGACTTGCTTAGGAAAGAGTTCCCTATTGCCAAACCCCTATCTTGACTACTCTTCTGATGAGCAATTTATTTTAAAATTTTGGTGGTACTTTAGTAAATACTTTATACACAAGAACATTTCTCACGCTATGTGAAGAGCAATGACATTATGAAGCAAACGTTGATGGTAGGAATTGTGGTATCCTTGGATGTATCTACTGTTTCAAACTTAGAGAATAGTTTAGCTGCAGTATATGGATTTCTCCTTCTTGTATTTATGGTAGGAAAAGTGGTATCCTTGGATGTATCTACTGTTTCAAACTTAGAGAATAGTTTAGCTGCAGTATATGGATTTCTCCTTCTTGTATTTATGAGTAAATAAAATTTGCCAAATTACAAGTAGGACGATGTCAGAGTTGGTGTTTTATCTAGAAACTTTTGATGGGCCTCCTTTTACAAACCATCTACAGAAACAGACCTCATTGTACCATCATTGACATTGCCTTCCACAAGTTTGGGCAAAGTTCTTACTCGAGCTTGATATCAGTTGAATCCTATGTATCCTTCACAAGTAGAAAAGTTGACAGTTTATGTCATTCACCAATAATGGTGAAGTACATCAACTATAAACCCTTCTACTTCACCTCAAACGCCATTCAATTGGTATTTTATTTTCTTGATGTATTTGCTTCATGAGAGGCCTACACTCTACGCCCCTACGTGATAAGCCCTTGCGTTGATCAAGTTTATTTCAATTGTTGAGAACCTAGTAGTAACGTTTACTCTGATGTCAGCCAGAAGCTATGCATTATGATGGCAAGTGTCATTCAGCCGGAGAGTGCAGCTATCTGGCGGGGTTGTCCTAAAACTTTTTGTAGTACCGCGTGCAGCCGACGGTAGCCGAGTGCTCTAATGCTCGTACATGTGAGCACTGGATATATCTAGGACTGCCCGGCCGAATAGTAAAACCAGACGGTCGAATAACATTTGCGATGACGATCCTGCTTCATGTGCTTCTCACATGGGATCCTAGATTCCACATCTGCCAATCCATAGTTATATAAGCTTAATTGGATTCTACTACTCATCCTGTGACATCCAAGTAGTTTTCTAGGTTCAAAACTCATGACTTATTAGCATCAATAAGTCCAATAACAAGCTTGAAGTAGAACGGGAAATTACAACAGGTTCGATTTTGAGTACAGAGTTTAACCTCCCAATAGTGACATACATTGGTGCTAGGGTTCGACGTCACTATTGGGAGGTTTCGCTCACAAGATGAAAATTGACAGCCTTGAGTGTAATCTCACTATGGAGACACACATTGGTGCTAGGATTCGACGTCACTATTGGGAACTGTCAATCACAAAAGTAAACTGCGCAGCCTTATTATCGAACGTTCCACCCGCCCTAGAACATTATGTAACTGCATTGTTTGGCTGCAAGATCGCCTTCATTTGTTCTTTGATATTGTTCACGACGAGCAACGTTGGCGCTATTATTGCGTTATACTTATACTTGCGTTTTATGATACTATCTGTAGCCAAGTTTTTCCTGAAGCCTTGAAAGAGTGAACTCTTGAGAAAGACGTATAAATAACGTATGCCTCATTACCATTTTTCACAGCTCTGCATTGTGATCATGATAGAAATTGTATCTCCGAAATTACACTTCGAACTGTAATTATTGGATAATATTATGTCACTTTTGACATTAGTGACGTACTCTCATTATTGGGCAGATTTATTACTTATAATGTAATGATTCTCAAATTCGATGTCACTAATACGAGGTGTCACTATTGGGAGGTTTACTATGTATTACTCAAAATAGCGACCATGATTCCGGATTCGTAGAAGTCCAATTTTTTGCGGGAGGGCGAATCATAGCCACTAGTGCGCGGTTGTAGTAAGAATCCAGTAATTTGGGCCGAAGTATCAAAAGTTGAAAACCCTGAGACGCTCGAAAGTAATCCGATGGAAGTCAACACGAGATTATAGAAATAATTATACGTACTCAGTTCATTCCCGCAAAGTAAGAAAACGAGGGAGAAACAAAAAAACAATCAGTCGTGAGCTACAGATGTTGTAGTATAGATATAGATACATCCCCTTCTGATTTACGGCCTATGGGTGTAGCGCGGCAGACTTGTTTCTCTTTCATTATCTGTGTCCGCTACGTCGTGGGGATGTTTGTCTTGGCGTGGCTCACATTCAGATCCAATTATGCATTTGTTTATGTCCTGTTAGTTTTTTTCAGAACATAAATATTTACTCGTAGTTGATTGTATGTATTATGAACTAATTACTTATGATCAGGCCTGCTTAATATTGGCGATCGTATGCCGAGACGCCTTAACAAGACCACGCGGTCGCGCGTACTTATGCTACCCTTCACTTATGCAGACATCTTTACTATACAATCTAAATAACATTAACGTAGCTACAACTAGTGGAGACAGTGGATATGCTAGACACAAAATCATCCAAGTTCAGTTTCTATCAAAACCTTTAGAGAAACCTGGGGCATATTAGACCAGGCATATCAGATGCCACCAAAATGTTTCTCTAAACTGCCTACTGCAAGCACTGGCGTTTATGATTCGAGTGGATGTTCAACTCCATTGCAGTGTAAGAGGGGATGTGGTGAGCTGCGTGGTTGGTTATTGAGAGGACTGGGAGGTTTTCTATCGCTTCTAAACGTGCAAATTACTTCCCTATGAGTATGAAGCATACTGATGAAGTTTTTCTGAAATAGAGCAGGTGCGTCCTTGATTGTAACTAAGTTTACACTTTAAGATCCTAAATAGAACCGAAACTGTTCCTCGAGGATTATTTCGAAGATTCAAGTACATGTCCTAGGTGCACCCTGAGCTGGTGGATTTGACAAATAAGGGTGCCGGATTTTATAGAGATAACTTGAAGGGTTCAGTCATAGATAAGGTTTCTTCGAATGGCAAATTAGAGTTCCTTCGTAGTGGTGGATTGCTTATAATCAAAGAAATCATACTGGGCTACTGTCAGTTCTCGAGAACAGCATTGTTATATTGAACAGGAGGGAAATCCAGAGAAGGATTTCAAAACAGGGTGATTGACAACCTGAATAAAGGCCTGGTACGGATTGAACGAAAGCTCTGTTGCCCATGAACTGCTCATGGCTCCATTTTATGCACTCTAAATGCGTAATACAGTTCACATTTACACACTGTCTAAACTAAGGTCTCCTGGTGCGACTAAATTAGCTTAATTTAGGTAATTTAGGCAATTTAGGCAACTTAGGCGCCCGACTAGACTAAGGAGGCCGGCTCAGTCTAGTCGATAGAAAACAATATAATCTGTCCAGTGACCCAGTTTCAGAAACATGTAACCGTAATTATGACAGACAATTGTGCAGATTCAACAATTTTTCACATGTAACCGTAATTATGACTTGATATCACGTAAGAACCTTTTAAACATACTTCCAGGATATTTAGAAAGTGGTCATGTTCTTTAGTGCTTATCTGCTTTGTAAATGTCATTTATGTAGATATATATGGAGTCTGTATATCGATTGTCTAGTTTTCTCACTCATATTGTAAGATCATCTGGATTGAAAATACTCATGTACTTACTACTACCAGACAATCTTCCACGATGAATTTGTTTATCTATGCAGGAGCGAAGCGATGATGCATGGGGACAATACTATGACCAAAGTGGACGGTTCGAGTTCTTTTGGACAGCTAGATCCCTTGAAGGAGAATGGGCATGGTACTGAGGGTTGCCAGAACCACTCTATTATTGAAAATTCAGTCGTCGATGGTGAGATGAAACTCGGAGATTATCAAGCAACGTTGGAGCAATCAACTTTCGGCACCATTTTGAATAATCCTGCTTCGTGTACAAATGATACCCTTGTAGGTGCTTCAACAAGGCGACCAGAGAGATTGAAAATCATAGTGAAGAGGAAAGTTGTGGCAGATGAATCAGGCAAAGAAGCCCGTACTAAATCACCTAATAAGAGACTGAAGGTTGATACGAGTGGGTTTGTAGGAGGTCAAAATGAACTACTTGAACTCAAAACAAACACGTTCGCAGGATCTCCAGCACAAGGAGTCGCATGTATGGATTCAAGGCTTGATGTGGAAGTTGAGAAGTTGGGGGTTGAATCCGCACATGTGTCTCTACCAGTTTGGGGACAACCTCACACTTCTACCAGAGCTAAAACCCAGAAGGTCATGGCCATCGAAAGGAATGAGCCCTTCCAAGCCGATCATGCTGTCACCGATAATAAGGAGATGTCACCTACATTGTTGGACAACTCATCTCAAGAGCTCCTCAATTCCCTTTCGCCAGCTTCAAAATTGTGTGATGAAGAGCACATTGTTGCAGCGAAGTATTCGTCTGCTGGAGTGGGGCTTGTGACTTCTGCGTCGGGAGTACTTGAGATTACTGAAGTTGGACGAAGTGCCCCAGCTGTGCAGCTTATTGAAGATTCATCTCTGCCCACCGTTGAAGAGTATAGAGCACCAGAGGAACCTGATACTTTTGAGACTGGGAGTCCCATCAACAGAGGTGGTTCAAGTGATGCTCCTGAACCCACTCACACTCCCAAGGCCAAAAGGACTCCTTTGTTTTTTCGGCCCGCTGAGAGATCAGTTGATGACGTCTCCCTGTCATCACCTTCTCAATCATCCAACCCTCCAGCGCCGCCCGCAAAGCGATCTCCTCTTCCCTTGCCTGGATCCAGTTCCTCACTGCAACCTCAGCTTAGTTCTGATAAACCGGAGGCAGAAGATTACTCTAGAAATGACGAGGATCAGTCACTCTCTGGGGAAGCGACAGATTTAGATGCTTTTCAGGTGAGTCTAATCATTACGTTTGGTGGAGTGTCTTTATACTTGTCAAATTAGCTATGTACTCTGGGTATGAATGTTAGAATGCATATCACTTGACTCGACCTAACAGGTAAAGAGACTGTTTCGCGATCTTTCTTAAAATCTGACAATCTATTCAGCATATCTACAATCTCACTTATGAAACCTGCAGCAGTTACAGTTCAAGGGCAACTTTGAACAAGTGGAGAGAGAATATGTTCCCGAAGAGAGTGGAAGTCAGGATGATGAAGGAGATGGAGCCGAAGCCGAAGATGAAGCAGAGGTTGAGGAAGAAGAAGAACAAGAAGGAGCAAAGGACGAACAAATTGAAGAACTGGAAGAAGGAGAAGCGGGCGAAGCTGTGGAAGTTGAGGAGGACGAGATCGAAGAAGGAGATGAGGTTAGAGAAGCGGATTTTGTTGCCGTAGGAGAAGAAGAAGAGGACGAGGGGACCGACGGCCTTGAAGATGGAGATTTAGCTGACGATGAGTTCGTCGCTGGAATCAAGTTTGACATTGCCGAGCTCGATAATGACACTCACGTTACTACAACGTCTGGAGTTGTCTTTGATGAGAAGCACATTTTTCGGGAGACTTTCACCACCTCGGAGAAGTCACAAAGCTCCATGCAATATGAAGCTTCTTACTTGTCAGCGTCCCTTGTAAAAAGCTCTGGCTTGGGAGATTCTCGTTTCTCTTTTCAGAGTCTTGGAAATGGAAATCCTTACCCTGTTGAAAAGGATGACAATGATCCTGAGGGTGTCTTTCAAGATAGAAATCTTGAATCAGACCAGCTGGATGATACCGCCGGTCTTGATACTGGAGGGACGAGTTACAGTCAGCAATCTGAGGACATCGTGGATGAAGATGGAGTCTCCAAACCAAATTTACTAGGCAGAGTAAATATATGCAACAGGTGCGGAGTACAGAAAACCGGGAGCAATTGTGACTGTGGATCTTGGTCTGCTGAAGCAGAGTCACAGGAGGAAGGTTCTCTTTCACCTGAGGATTTTTCTGAATCATCTCAGGTTTTTGGAAATTCCTTAAAAGTCGAAAGACTAGATGGAAATAAGCCGGTTGATGTGTTTCACAACGCGTATTATGTCAAGCAAGTAGATGATTGGGAGCCAAAGCGATCAACAAAACCTTTGGTTCCCACACATTCTACTTCACAACCATCACAGTCCAGCAGTGGGGTCAAACGGTTGAAGGTTAAGATATCGTCTGGTGTTTCTGTGAAGACAGCTTTACCAACACCTGCTAAAGGGATTAATATCAAAGACGCCCCGACTACCGCGAAGGCCCTCTTAGCCACAGGATTGCTTGAAGGTTATCAAGTCAGATATCTCGACCGGTCAGGAGGGGTATGCATTTGTGGCGTCGAAAAGATCCTTGGTTGTTACTCGCTCAGTATTTTTTCGTTGTAGATTGTTGCCGCAATATTGTTATAATCAAAGATCGACTAAGTCTGTACCTTTGCTTGCTCTAGCAGGTCATGCTCACGGGCAGGATAAAAAATTCTGGCATAGTTTGTGACTGCACAAAATGCAAGGGACAGCAGGTAAAGCTTGTAGAGGACGTAAGGGTTAAACTGCTTTTGTGATATTCCAGTTGTACCGCACGTCTACTAGCTGTTCGTTTTATTGAACGTCATAGCAAAATTACTGAATGTATTGCAACGTTATGGCCTTTCGTGTCTTTTGTTGAAGGTCGTCAATGTGTCAGCTTTCGAGAAGCATGCCGGAAGTTCTGCCAGACATCCCAGTGACTTCATTTTCCTGGAGAATGGGAAAAATCTTCATGACGTAATGGAAGCAGGTTGGAAAGCTGGAACCAACGGGAGGAAAGTGGTTGAGGCATTGCAGTCAGCCATGGGGTTTGCCGCGCGGAAGAAAGAATCAAATTCTTCTTGTACAGAATGTAGCGGAACTGGTGGCACTCTTTTTGCTTGTTCTGGACCTCGTTGTTCTGGTGTGTACCATATAGGTATGTTCGGTCACCTTTTCTCAATTTCAAGGAGATTGATTTAGCAGGTACTTTGTTTACAGTACGGTACAGACTGTGGTATCAACCTTCATACACTTTGCTCCGTACAGACTACGGTTGCTGCAGAATCTACATTTTAGCAGGTTCCACTTCTGTATTATAGTAGTGACTTGTGTGGCTTTCTGCAGAGTGTGCTGGACTTTCGCAGCCACCTGAAAGTGATTGGTTATGTGCACTATGTGAACCTGCTGAGAACCGTCGACGTTTGTTGAAGGCGAACTCTTTGCCGTCAAGGTACTCGGACAGATTCTAAACCTTGTTCTTGGATCGTAATGTAGTCGTGTATATCAAGTTTTAGTAGACATGCATACCTTACTTTCTTATGAAGCTCTCATAGTCATGCCTTCAGTACTGGAGTTCTTTACTTCAACAATGGTTTTCGGCTCAAGTCCTTGAATTCAACGTATCACCAACGTTTACGTAGTCAGCATGTAAAATTTGATTTTATTGTATGTTCAAACGGTTACTATGTCCTTTAGCTCTGTATATCTGTGTTATCTGTAGCAGCTATGTTTCCGCCTGAAATCCTACCAACCCCTTCTGATTTCTCCATTTTTCAAATCTTATCGCTGTCAAGGTTATCTGTTCACTTAGCCAATTGCCACGGAGTTTGCTTTTGAACTTTGGCATTCAATGCATGTTTCTGAGCGCGTCGTAAGCTGAATGATTACAGAGAACCCAGCACGGGCAAGCAGGATTCAAGTGCGAACATGCATAAGGCGTTATTTCTTCCTGGGGCTCTACCTGACGATGTAGAGGTGGGCTATTACGTGAAGGGACAGGTGCGTCAAGCGTTGGTTATAACTTGATTTGATGTACTAAAAACGCAAAGTCTGAACCCACAATTGTGCTCGATCAAGTAACTGTAGAATGCTGGGATGTTTTTGCTTCTTGTAAGAAATTGGAGAGTAATAACAAACTTGCAATCCGGTGTGAAGTTCAAAGTACAGAATGTCGCTCTCATCACTACTACAGGTCATTGTGATTCTTTGTTAGCTGTCTTGACTTTCGCGACAGGGAAGTTTCAGGATTTTGGTACTATGACCTACACTGTGTTTGCTCTCACCATTTATTACTCAATAAAATCCTCATGCTTTTCACAATGAAAAAAACATGTTTCTTCTTTTCGTGTATCAGCGTTTCTTGACTGGAGTAAAAAAGGGAAGCGGTATCTGCTGCAGCTGCTGCGGCCAAGTTGTAAGTTTTACAGATAGAACATCGACGCTCACGCCAGCCTTATATTGTCATATCTGAATGTATTCTTTGCGTTCCAGTTTTCATCTTGTCTAGTTATGTGTATAACCTTTTCTACATGAATCGCAGATTAGTTGCTCACAGTTTGAACAACACGCTGGATGGGGCTCGCGTCGAAATCCGTAAGTTCGATTGCCATTTAAGGTTTACTAGAGATTTTTATCGTCGGCAGGTGTTAATTCACAAAGCACTCGCAGCAGAGGAGGCCAATATTACTGAGAAAATTATACTGTGTCCGTCTGGCTTCTTCTAAGAAGTGTTTTGAACATTCAGGTACTCGAGTATCTACTTGGCAGATGGTCGTTCTCTCCATTGTGCTGCACTTGCTCTTACAAAGAAGTTGGACGAGACACCCGTTGAAAACATGGACTACTGTACAGAATGTGGAGACGGTGGGGACCTTGTTCTTTGCGATGGTTGTCCTGGAGCATTCCATCCAGGTAAATTTCACGCATTTAGATTTGGTTGGACACATTTTGTACTTGTTACAAAATTCGTCATTTACCGCGATCAGAAGCTCTCTACGTTAACACTAACTTGGAACTAACCCCGCTTTGGAAGGGGAGAGTTTGCTTTCTCCTCCTTTCGGAGCGGATTACCTATATTACTAGGGACAGGAGTCTAAACGACCTCTTAAGCACAGGGCGTTCATAAACGAAGGTTTTTGGACAAGCCGTGTTTGAAACAACGGTGAGGTCCTGGGGGTCGCTTTTATCCCTAAGAAGTCAAAGGGCCCGTATTACCTGCCTACCTGAAAGGGACCTAGCGGTCCTCCATCTCATCCTTCTTCATATGCCTTTACTAGTACCGTCCAGCCAGGCCTCGGGGTTTGACAGGCCATATTACAATCTTCCGCTGCCGTGGTCTACTACATATAACATTTTTTGGATTGAGCTTCTCATACATCTTCGGTAGTCCGCAGAACCTTACCTGCTTAAGTTGGAAGCTAACAGCCTGTTGGAAACGTGGTCCTAAACGTTCATCAGTCTTATAGATGTCGGCGGAACATCAATCATAGATTACTAGACATGTGTTGTGTACCATGGGAGGTTCATGAGAAAATACACCAATTATCTAGCTACTTGATATCAACGTTGTGCCTATTTCCAAGTTGATCAGAGGATGGTAATTTTTAGCTGGAAAATTCCACACCACCGTTATTTATATTTCATTATCAATTCTAAAATTCGATAGAGAAGATGAAAATTCGAAACTGTTACGCGTAAACATCGATGGACGCGTTTTATAAGCAACATAAACCCAGGGTGCTCCAGGACAACAATTAACCTACTAAACTTGTTTTAAAATTTACAACTTAAAATGAATAAGAAAATCAATCGTTTGCTTACATAATGGATATATCGTCCTGTGCAAATACTATACGGTCAAGCATGAATGCGCTTATACCAGCGTTTTTATTTGTATGCTTCAAGTAGTTACAAACTTCGAAGCAAACCGGTTTACGATGAGCTCTGTGCTAGACTGTAATGACCATTCGACATTGAAGTAATCCAATAGACCAACCTTGCTTTAAAAATCGCCAGAACTTATACTTCACTGATTGCACAGATTTAATCTCAACGATGATTGCAGCTCGTCGGCCCATTATGAACGGTCGCCTGGTCTGGATTACTGACGTGCCACACATGCACTTGCAGTCGCTGTGGTACTGTTGCAGAAGCCATGAGTAGAAACAGTAAGCGTTTTCCGGAGACCATGTATAGCCCTTGGTGACCCAGTCATTTAATCACAGACTTTTCAGAGGCCGAGAGTACTACAGTGGGGTCTTCTCATTCCTTGCTAATTTAATGTCAAAATATTTATACAGTTCATTGAATGGGTCACAGCTAGTGCAATAGCAGTGGGGGTGAATCTCGTTTAATCCATTCCAAGAGGCGGTATGCCCTTTTAACTCCAACTAATTAGACTGGATAAAGAGGTTACTGGATGTCTTGCACTTGTAATTCCATATACCCTGCCACGATCACAAATTAATGTAGTCTCCATTTTCCTCACTTTCAAAGCTGGAATCTCTTTTCTCTTGATTTGCAGTGCTCGTTTCTTTATTCTTCAATCTCCTGCGTCTGCTGTCTGAACATGATTTAGGTGGCAACAGTGTACTGAAATTGTCTCTTCTTGTCGGTGGCAGAATGTGCAGGGCTTATAAGCATCCCTGGAGGTCATTGGTTTTGCCCACGTTGTAAGAATCAACAGAACTCTGTTCCTGGAAGTGTTCGCAAAGTGACCACTAAGATGAGAAATAAGGGTGGAAGTAAAGCAGGTGGGCCTGCTGTGAAAGAAAGTTTGGACGATCGCTGTACACGCTTACTGAAAGCAACAGATACAGTTTCCAGCGGTTGTGTCTTTTGTAGGTATGTGAAATTAAAGTTGCTTGCAGGATGGAAAATCAAGAAATTTGGTTCCCTTTACGTACCTGGACCTTTCTTCTGTGTAGACCTTAATCGGAGAGATCCGATTTCTTTCTTTCATTGCTGTTTTTGCTTTTCATCTGGATGAAATTTTATTTTGTAGTTTTTGAACAAAGGGCATTGAGTTCTTAAAATGTATAGGAAGTTCATTTAGAGAATCGAACAGCTCGGATTTTCTATGTGAAGACGACTATCCAATAACTATTAAATAATCTTGAATAAGCCTAAGAAGGATGAAGGCCTTATTTTCCAAACCGCTGAAAATCCTAGTTTCCGCTTCCTTAGCTTCATGTCTTACAGTCTTGACATCAGAGGCCAACATTTTACTTCAAATTTGTACCCATACCAGACCATAACCATTAGCAGCGACTTATGCCCACCCATCCATACCCACCTGGAAACAATAACCACCCTTGCCCACCCATAAAAACTAATGTCACGCAAAACCCATGGGCATGGGTATGGGCACTCAATGTTGGGCTCTGCTTGACATTCTCTGAAGTAGTACGGAAGCCAATGATGATTGATAGGAACTCATAGCCATAAGTGCAAGCTGGGTTTTTGGGGTTGGTGAAGAGGTCAAAGTAGAAAGACGAGATATAACTTTCTTATGAGTTGCCAGTCATGTGACTACGATGGCCTCAGCTGGATACGTGTGGACGCTTATGGTGACAAATGTTAACTGTCGAATACTTGCGGCAGGTCTGGGGAGTTTGCGAAATCGGGTTTTGGTCCTAGAACTATTCTTTTATGTGACCAGGTAAGAAATACCTCCAGGGTTGATTGTGGTGCACCTCAGGCTCAGGATAGACCCAGTTGAGGGTTGTAACAGAGTTTTTGTTAGACACTGTAGGTGTACGAGCATGTTGTGAGGCATTGACGAGTGATTCTCAGCATCAAATCAGTTTTCTAGATTCTGAAAAAATTTGACTTCGCAAACGGAAGGGATCTTCACACTAAAGTGACTTGTTTCTGTAACCTGGTCCACTACATTCCAGTTCATGGCTTCATGGCATGTGTGACACCGCTTATGCAAAGTTTTAATAACTGTTATGTTCTACTTCAGTGTGAAAGAGAGTTCCACGTGGGCTGCTTGAAAGAACATGGCCTAGCTAATCTGACGGTGAGTACCTTACATTCTTTGCAAGTAGTTCACAAAGAAATAATTTATCGTCGACGCTGTGATTACGATAGCTGATGTCTGACCTTGGGATCTGCAGGTGCTTTCTATATTTTCTGTTGTTGAAGCTCGACCCACCTGTTAAGCAATTTCTTTCCCACGCTTGTTTCCAGTGTTAAATCTGGTTTGTGATTTCCTTCCTTTTTTCAGGAATTACCGGACGGGGAATGGTTTTGTGAAAAAGACTGTCAGCATATCCATGGAATATTGCATCTGCTTGTTGCCAATGGCATGGAGCCGTTGGCCGGATCTATTGTCAGCAAAGTCATCGAAAATAAGAAGCATAAGGAAGGTCCTGAAGCACCGGAGCCCAGTAGATTCGCTTGGCAATTGCTTCATGGTCGACGAGGTGACCCACAAAATGGAAAAACCCTAACTGAAGCGGCAGCAATTTTTTCTGTAAGTTCATGAAACTTGTCCTCAAAGTTGCTTTACTTGAGAAGAGCTTGAATAACGGAAATATTGTGAAGAATACCGGAAGTAAGTAAATAACTGCAGGGTAATGAATAAATTGTTGACTTACTCTTCATAATCATTGAACTTGACAGGAGTCGTTTGATCCAATTGTGGACGAATCATCAGGAAGAGATCTCATACCTCTTATGGTTCACAGGTATATTTGATAGATGTTACACGTGTTTTTGTTGCTAGACTTACTACTGCTAGGGGTATTGCGCAACTTTGATGGCTTTCATACTGCAGCGTTGAAAATATGCAAAAACTTCAGCCGTTTAAGTCACAAGAAAAGATTATGACTACTGCAGCGGACGGTTGGAGAAGTTTTGTGATAAATTAGAGCATTTAGAGGAATTAGAAGGTCCAAATCCTGTTAATTTAGCTGTGGTCGAACTTGTCTTTGATAATTTGGTGGATAGAATATCACAGTAAAATTTTCGAAGCACTTTGGGACGCTTCTTTACAACTGAGATGTCAAGTATTTAACGTGCATTCAATTTTGATTGTTGCTCCTGTATATTCGAAGCTCCTGATGTCATATTTTCTGCCTTTGCCCAGCCGAAGTATAAGGGATCAAGATTTCGGCGGCATGCACTGCGTGGTTCTCAAGCGCAAGTAAGAATCAGTTTGTTCTTTACGAGCTCATAAACATTATGCTAATCCAGTTTTGTCTGTAGTCAGGAACTACTGTCGTTTCCTACTGTATCTTGATATAATTACTGTGGCTCACGCGCAGTGATGAAGTTGTAACGGCTGCCTTAGTTCGAATTTTCGGTCGACAGTTTGCCGAATTGCCTCTGGTTGCCACGAGAGCAGGAAGTCATGGGCAGGTACTTTCGTCCATTGACGTTTGCATGACACTGCACATGATAGTGCTTCTCACACATGTGAAAAGTTGAGACATACAAACATATTGTTTGCATGTCTTGCTCTATTTCGCCTTCTTCTGCTTGCCTGTAATTCCAGCGTCTTTGAGCTACAACAACTGGATCGATGATCACCTGATTAAGTTTATAAATTTTGAAGTGGCAGAGGGTCGATGATTGCTGAACGCCGAGTTTGGTGTGGTATTGCAGGGTTACTGCAAGGCCTTGATCTTGTCTATCGAGAGACTGTTGGGAGTGCTTAACGTAGAGCGACTTGTCCTTCCGGCCGCCGAGGGTGCGGAAGGAATATGGGTGAACAAATTTGGCTTTTCTCAGCTGTCGGACGAAGAGGTCGGTCTTGTCTCCCTGTCCTTCGCTTTTAGAGAAAGTATCCTGAAGGTCTGTGTGTAAGTGTGTTTTTGGGGTGAACGATTGCCTGCTATTGCCTGCCTGGGGATCAGTTCATGGGAATCTCGCAGTTTGTTCCGATCATGTTTATGGACGGGTACATCTTTCTTCGAACGAACTACAATCTGTCTAGGTTATTGGGTAGAGGGTTAGTGAAGTCATAGATTGGCAAGTAGGTTGACTCAATGACTCAGTTATTCCAATATTGTTCTAGAAATGAAGTCAGGCCAATTCTGAATGTCTTGAGTTACGTGGTCCGTCGAATTGCAGTCTCGAAGATTCAGATCTGAGGTGCAGATGATGATCTTCAAAGGCTCTTCATTGCTCAAGAAAGTGATCACCCCAATGGCAATACAGTGAGCGCCTTGCAGAGGAGGAAAGTCTTCAGTTCAACTCACGCTCAACATCCTAAGACTCGAGCCCAGAAACTGGACTCCCAACTCTTGAAGCTTTCTCGTGAGAGCTTATGTTGGTATGATCATTATTATCCAAGGTGGAAGAGGAGGCATGTCCAAATCGTGCTCTACTTGCAGGCAAATCCAAGAACTTGTTTTGTTGAGTTCTTCCAGGAATGGAAATTCCACTTCCCCGTAATTGAGTGTCTTACCAGTTAGTCGAGTCACGATCCATGTGCATCATGGCGACACATGTCCGTCTAACTCCCTTTCAAGGAAGGCTGGGACTAAAAGTGCAGCGTTTAGTCTTGGGTGTATCAGTCTACCGTCAAGTCATCACCCCGAACATATTTGATTTCGGGTTGAGTAGGTATATCGTTTTGCACTGGTCATGAATCAACTGACTGGGCGACGAAGTCCAGAATTTCTTGGAACCGTAGCGGACATATGGTTAACAAGGATGGAGAATTACAACCGAACGCCACGATTCTGAATGAAAATTTGAAGGTGGTTGAGAAGGCTCCGCAATCTTGTAATTCTGACGACGTGAGTATCACTTGTAATTAGCAAGCAGGAAAAGAGAACATGCGTTGTCCATTTTTAGTTGAAATAGTGTACCAGGTGAGGTTCCAGTTGAGTCTCTTGTTTTGCGGTCAAGCCAGGATAGAATTGATATTGTTCTTTACAAATTGGACTTGCTTACTCCATGAGGTGTTTAGAAATTCAGCACCAGGGATTGAGGCAGAAGGGTTACCTGCTTAGTTTCTTAGGAGTACGATACTTCAAAAATCATGTAATTGAGCTGTGCATTTACAGTGCAGCATGCGACAACACAGCATTAAGTACACGTTGTATATTCTGTCACATGCGTGACGAGGTTTAGCATCAATGGACGCCAGGATATCTATCGAGGTGTGGCTACGCATGACTATGGATTGGTCTCCGGTATGTTAGAAGGGAGTATCCTGTCAACAGGTTATTTCGAGTGTTTGCCTTGGTCAAGGAAGTGATGTGTCTTGTTTCCATATACAGGTATGATTTTTACCCTGATTGTTTGGATCTAGAATGCTCCATTTAATTTTATGGATGGGAAATTCCCAATTTTTTTCACAAGTATTCTCTTTTGTTCTTTGCGAAGATTGCGTTCTCTGGTAATTACACTAGTTTCAGAGTAAGAATGTATACGTGGCGTACAAAGTTCATTTCTTATCCGCGAAAGTGTCATGTTAACCATGGTATGAGTTGAAGGAGTCAATTACAGGTGCCCCAGAAGTTCCTGGTGAGGTGACTGGTCTTCTGAATTGTTTAGTTCAGGTCAAACATGTGCTATGCTGACAATTACAATGAAGCTGTCGCCCAACTTCTAAATCTATCTCCATGGATTTGCTTGGAAACGCGCGTCCAAGTCTTTATATTGTACCATTGATTTAGTAGTTGATGACCCATCGACAAATCAGTACTCTGAACGAACATTGATATAGCTATTTCTACTTTTAGCTTACCATGTACTTAGATTTGATATAAATCAGGTAAAGGATGTACTTCAACGGACGTAAGGTCAACAACCTTCTCTAGGTCAAGTCTTAGTTGCTATCAAGTGACGTATGAAAGCGGATGTAGTCTGGACAACCTTGTTCTGGTCAAGTTTGGCGTTTCGGTTCAAGTCTGTTCTACTGGTCTGAATTGATGTAGGAAACTCAAGGAATAGGATTGAAGACGATCTTATTCCATCCACACTGGCCCACACTCCCAAATGTAATTGTAGCTTATTTGAGCGAGTGATGTGAGGCCCACTGACGTCATGCAATTATGAGTTGGGAGTTGAGCTTGATTTTACAATTTATTTTTAGTAGAACTGAATGTATTTGGGCAAACAAGTACATCAATGGTTGACTTACATACTGATCTGAAGATATGTTTAAAGAAATGGTGTAATTAATGGTCTTGTTGTAAATTGAATGACATTAGTGTTTCGAAGTGATTATTATATGTAGACGTTGTCAATTCCTTCATTTTGGGTGGAGGTTCACGATGTGGCAACAACTTATCGAATCCAGTTCCTGCACGGTAACGATCAAGATGGCTAACAAAAGCAAGATGTTCACCCGTCATTTGGGTGAAGGAGTACGCTAGCATTGTGCGTCATCTTTCTGTGAAAGCTAGCCGAAGAAATCTCACTACACTATCTCTACACTATTTAGAAGCTAGTACAGACCTCCTAAAATCTAGCACTTGCGGACTTTGCCATATTTAAGGTAAAATGGCACTTTTTAGCGCAGCAGTTCCAGCGCCAACGACTATCATGCGCAGATCTTCTTTATATCTTCGAATTGCTTTGCATGTATGATATCCACCAACGACAAGTTAGGTTCGTTCGAGAGTTGCTTTTCTTGTGTTTCACAACGAAAAGTCGTTCTCGAAGGACGCCGTGTTAGGAAGCGCTGGCGCTAGACTTCCACAAATCTTGCGCAGCTGCAAACAACAACCTTTCAAGCTGTCTCATGCTGGGATATAGAAGCTCGCGTGAAAACAATGGTATCAGCATGCGATGTTCGAACTCTGTGCGCTCAATGTCGTTGCTTTAATGTTTCTTCAAGTGCGCGCTCAATGTCATTGTTGCTTTAATGTTTCTTCAAGTGCTCGCTATGTTAGATCTCTGCGCGCCCAATGTCCTGGTCGCTTTAATGTTTCTTCATGTGCGCGCGAAAGGATTGATCACTTGGTTGATAAGAGGTGCAGGTCGAAGCTTTGCAAGCTCAGTAGTCATCATAGGTGGTGCTTCAACCTCACTTGATTGTTCGAGCCGTCACGCTGGGCATGGAAGAGAAAAATGTCATCAATGAACTTCAGCAAGAACTTTGCAATCGCATTCACAACCGAATGTTTCTTGTTTTCAGAGAATTGCAAAAACATATCTCTTGCCCATGATACTTGATTGTAGATGTGCAAGATAATTGATTTTGTTTTGACAATCCACTTATTCAAAATGATGTTGGCGGAGATTTCAACTTCGTTCAGTTCGTCATGAACATGCTTGATTCCGATTGCGCCAGTTGTTTCAGCAATTAGCTTTGCGACCTCTTCTTGTTGTAACGAAATAACAAAATTTCAAGCTTGGATCGTGCGGATTCTAATGGCAATCCGTTGAAAGATCGACGCTAGAGCCGGGGTAACGATCCATCACTGCTCGAATGCGAAATTATTTGCTTCTTGACAATATGGATCAACAATCGAAGGCGATGATGAAGCTTCCGGTCAAGCATGTTGTCGAATTCCGTCCAACGCGTCGTGTCTTTCGGGCATTGAGAATCCATTTCGGTTATGAGATTTTGTTGAGCTCGAAGATGAACGCTAAAATCATGTACTGTCTTATAGAACTCTACTTCAAATACTAGTTGTGTTGCTTTCTTGACAACGATATTTAGCTAATGACGAACGCATCAAACACGCAGCATTGGATTCGAGCATTGCCTTTCAAGCAGAGTGATAACTCCTGCATGGCGACCAGTTGTTGTCTTCTCTCCATCCGAGCTGATCAAGATGACCTTGTCCCGCCACGTTGGACATAAAGTATTCAACAACACATTGATGAGCTTGACATAATTTTGAGAAGTATGTCGCTCAAAGAATGGTACCAAGACCAGGTGGAGATTGAACATTTTTTCTTTCACACACAGTCGAATCCGCTGGTCAAGGAGAGGCACTCCTCGATGAATACTAGCATCAGCAGCAAGAGAAAAAGCTCATACATCAGGGTCATTCAATACATTGAACATGGTCTGCAAGTTGATAGCTACTTGTACACGAATGAATTGACTGACCATATGATCGTTGAAACCACTAAACTTAGCATTCCGTGTTGCAGCGCGATGTTGTTCAATTACTTTTGCCGTCTGGCAAAAGTACAAGCCGATTGAGACGTGTTGAATCGCAAGATCAAATCTCAATGAGTTCTTGATTTTCACGTGATATGATACATTGTCTTAGAGCTTAAACATCTTCATCGCATTCACTTTGCTAATTGTAACCACATCGTCATCTTCTCATCATCATCCGGATTGAAGAAAAACTCTCCCACCATGTCGCCGACCATTTCAAATCGAGAAATCACAAATTTAAGTTGTCCTTGTTGTTCTCAATGAACTGATGTATATCATCGAATTGCTTATACTTCAAATATGCAAGTTTCTCTTCATAGCTAAGGAGCTAATAATTCAACCACTTTTCCGAATGTTGAGACTTATGATGCGTCTTGTAAGCCTCTAGTTGGAAAGTAAACTTGAACAATTTCGTGTTAGCCATTCACTGGTGTTTGACATCCGGTCTAACACACAATTCGCGACCAAAACGTACGCAAGACATACATTCGACAGTCACAATCATCCCATCATCTCCTCTTTCACTACGGGCTACAAGCAGTATTCAGCCACATGCTTCTGCTGAAATTGCGTCTGACGACTCATCGATGACGCAGCACGGCAGCAGTGCTCTCGCTGGATCGCTAGGGCTCTCTGCGGCAACCCCCAAGTCCACGAACTAGTGCGCAACAGTTTCCAACAACTTAAACTAAAAAGTGTTGTTATGCTAACAATTAGCCTAACACTATTAGCCCAACCTTTTATAATTTTGGCATATTGGCTGTGTTAAATATGACAAACATGGCACCTATTTTTAGAATGCTAGGCTTTAGGAGATCTGAGCTAGTATAACCTGAAAGATAGTAGGACATATGACGTTGTGGACGAGCTGTATGTTACGAAGATGTCTCATTGTGGTATCTCTTAGCTCCTTGAGTGCGAATTGTTCGACCGTTTTTCTCACATATCTTTCCTTGAACAAAGATGAGCAACGTTGAGAAGAGCAACAAAGATGAGCAAAAACCGTTCAACCAAAACTTGGATTTGCAATATGAAAGAACAAAATATGGATCTCGGTAGCTCTAGAAGACAAGAGAACTTTATGTAAAACAAAAATTTCCATAACTTTTTCATACATTCACTATGAAATACAAAAATTTGATAAGATTTATTAACAACATGATAACTATTTTTGAATTTACTTAAATAAGATAAAAATAAATTACCAATTGGCATGTTATTTTTGTAAGTCATTGACGATCGCTGATAAAATTCACATTTTAAAAACTTTCACAAAGAATGTATGCACAATACTTTAAAGTACAAAAACTGGTTAACATATGCTTTAGTCGAACATCAGACAGAGAAATGATTGAATTTATTAACAACATAAATATTTTATTATTTACTTAAATTATATTTAAAAAAAATTAGCAATATGTGTTTTTTATTATTATTTCTTGGCAAACACTAACAAAATTTAAAGTTTGAATTTAAATGTATCATCTTGATTCATATTTTAAATGTAGATCTTAGTAAACACAAACTGTACAAAAGTATTTGATTCACAAATGGAAAATATAATAAAAATTAACTTGCAACTTTAAACGTGCAAAATAATGAGTTGATGAATAATCTTCTTACTTCTTACGTTAAACTTTGAGAAATTTTTTGTCCAAAAAGAAGCACAGAAAAAAAATTGGAACCCATAATTTTTGAAAAAATGACCCTAAAAGCTTTTGTTTCAAATGGTTGACATTAGATGTAACACACCTTTTGCTATGAAAAAAATAATGATATATTGTCAAATTTATAAGATTTTAATAACAAATCTTATAAAATGAATATCAAAACATGAACCCATCGTTTAAACTAGGCCTCGGCAAAGTAAGGTAAACTTTAAGTGTTACTTGATAAAAGTGTAAAAGGTAAAGGTAAAAGTTAAAGATTGGATATACTTTAGGTAAAGGTTAAGGTAAAAGTAAAGGTAGAGCTAAATGGATTACTCGGTAATTACCTAGTAACCCTTCA